AAGTTACATAGAAATATGAATAGTTTACAAATAATATAATATAACTTTAAATTTATAATATAATTTAATATTAATATAAATATAGTCTATAATATATATATATATATATATAACAAATAAAAACCACTAAAACTTTAACACTTTTAGAATAAGAGCACGTAGATCTCAAAATTGAGGGACCAAAACTGTGATTGTGAAAAGTGGTGCCAAAAGTAATGTAAATGAAAGTGTTATGCCAAATTTAATGTGCTACTATTTACTACACCAACTTTGGTGTAAAAAGTTGTGTGGCTTTGGAGATCAAATAGTGTTTAGTATAAGATTTCGTGACCCTATTGGAAGTGTATCTTATAGATCTAATTATTAGTATAATATGTGGAAGATTATGCATCACTAATTAGAAGTTGTGGTTCCTGAAAGAGATGACAGCAAACTGTATATGGGTTAATTATTAAAGAGTGGAGTTACATAACGAGGTTTGACCATTTAAGTTGAGCTACAAAAGACAGAGCTTCACACCCAAGAAAGTAAGGATCACAGGCTAACATGTTAAAGTAATATAGGTATGCTGGGTGTAACAGTTGAACCTATATTGCAGATAATGAAAACCTATGTGTTTAGGAGGGTTAGGGATGTGACCATGGCCATCCTCGGTTTCACAAACCTCAGCATCAATGGAAAATATCTAGATCCTTCCATCGCTTATTTTCTTTTCAAAAGGTGAGCCGTTGCTTTTGAAAGCCCTTGAGTTACAAAGCAGATATCAAAGCATGTCATTGTATATGCTACAAATTGTCCAGTTAAATGATGCATGTTCTTTCAGTTTACCATTCCAAAGCTCATCTAGTTTGAGAGAGGGGGTGCAAGCTATCCAACACTGACACTAATTTCAATTCATATCGAATTGAAATAGTAATAGCAATGGGACAGATCTCACACCTCATGCCACCTTACATGGGGTGAATATTGGGTATCATAAAACAGGGGCAGGTGGATATGGGTGGGAATTTCTAAATCCAATCCAAACTTTCTTTAATCCAAACATGACAAAATGGAGGTGGGCCAAGAAGAGTGAAATTCAGAATGCTGGATGGATATGAAATGTCTCCCTTCTCATATCTGCCTGGTTGTCATCCTTTAATTGAAACAGCGGTAGTTACTATCCATATGTTAATGCTTACGCATATGACAAGCAATGATATGTTTTAACTCTATTATATTACTCCAAATGACACTTAACTCTACCATGGAAGGGTGTTGAGGTAAACCTGCAATGCTTCAAAAATGAGAGTTCGTGAAATGTTCAAATTGCAATGAGAAGTTTCTAAAACAGTGTTGTGAGCCAAATTTTAACAATAAGTCAGCTTCTAACAGAAGTTGCGACTATAACAATAAGACTTTCATCCTGGTTACGCTAACAATAACAACCCATCAGAAATCAAAATATAGTGAATCATACTTATAAGGAGTTGGAAATTGTTGTACTAGAGTCTAGGACATTTTATTTAGGATTAACAGGTTGGCATCAGTCCTTTATGAAACTCGTCGACAGGCATAATGTTTTAGTTACGCGACTTCAACGTATGGACTGCTTTTATTGGGGGCGTGTATAAAGATGATTACTGGAAGCAGTGAATATCAATAATTAGAAAGATTCTTACCTTCGGATGATGAACGTTTATAACCGGCATAGAGAGGGTCGACAGAAGTTGCGGAAACGCCAACATCAACACCAGGCGGTCCAGGCCACAATGTCGACAAAGTAGACCCTCCTCCCCCGGCCATTCTAGCACTTCCAATAGCGTCCTTGTGATTATACAGCATCGAAGGGCCTCTATCGCTGATAGATGAATAGCTGTATATAGTGGAGGACGATGACAGGGGATCCGAACCGAAAAACCTAGACGAACTGAGGTACGTTGGATCCGCAGGCACGTATTGATCGGCTATGGATCTGGATGTATAGATGCTGGACGAATTGGATCCTGCCCCATACCCGTAAGAGCTCGACCCGTAAAGCTGATTCGCCATTCTAGAGGATTGAACAAACCCTAGAATGCAAAATGATACTCGAAACCCTGCCACTGCGTTTGGTTAGTGGAATCAGTACTTTGGTTCTTTGAAAAATACGTTTTAGTCCCTTCGGTTTATTGAAAATTGTTATTTTTGTATCTATGTTTTTAAAATTACGGTTTTAGTCCATATGATTTATAATTTATTTTTTTGTCCCTCGTATTTAAGAGTGAATGGATTTAGCCTCAGGTAGGGGTGTCCAAAAAACCGTCAAACCGCTAATTATAAGGGTTGAAATTGGATTAACGTACCTCAACTCCACCTAAATCGTCACCCTACCACTAATGTATATTATTTCCATAAAATTATATACGTATATATATATACTTGCAGCCATTATAATTTACAGCTCAAAAAAATACATATGTAGTATTATCTTAATTTATCGCCCAAACCCCAAAATCAATCCATTAGGCTAAGCCCAAAATGAATCCAACTAGGTCAGGTGCAGGGTCAGCTCTAACCCATGGCTATCATGGTGGTGGCCATTGGCAGCAGGACCCAAAAGGACATCACCAGCCCAAGTACAGGTTAGGTTTAGTAGGTCGTGTATGGGCATGGAAAAACGACCGTTCCAAAGCGGTCATCTCATGAAGTCTCCAGCATTCGATTAATATGTATGTTCTCCTCTCGATATGCTACCCCTTAATCTCATCATCGTCCAATTCCAAATCAACTGAGTGCTTGTCTGCTCGACTAGTCGACTCCCTAATCGATATGCTCCTAGTCATGCCCTAAATACAACCTGGTATCTTCGTTATTAGTTAAACATCAACATCGTGTGGACGATGTTGCTTGCTTCAGTTTTCTTGTTTTTATGGGTGTGTGTTAAATTGTTATTAGATATAGGTGGGGTCGTGTCGGAGGTTTATGGCTTGGACTGTGACTAACGATACACACACAAAGAACACTAGAATGATCAAGTTATGAATTCTATATTTGTCAATTTATGTCTGTAGATAAAAATGACAGGAATCTAACACGACGCACTAATGTTTGATTTTGAAAAGCCTATTTTTCAATCATCGTTGATTATTTAAAATTTGGGCATTTCATGTGGGATGTGATGGATAGACTTCAAAAATGAAAACTTGACCGTCATTAATCCGAAAGACGAACTCCATTGGATTTTGTAAAACATATGGGACAATTTTGTAATGAATGAAGATCAAGAACGAGCCTCGTTTGGTAAATGGGCTCGTAGTTAGTGACCATGTCTAAAATTTACTTGATTGCAAACTAGGCCTCTTGGAAAACAAGTTAACAATATGGTCCTACACTTTCGTTTTATTTCCAGTATGATCGCATACTTAAAAGAATTGCATATAAAACCATCAAACTTGATAGTCGTTATCAAATTTTCATCCAACATTTGAATGAATGGAAGACCTAACACACTATCACAGATGCAAGAAAGTTACGTAATTATTTTTATGACATTTGACAACTCGTATCCTTGAGACGTAACATTTAGATCATGACATTGTATATGCATCACATAATATAATTTATGAAAACGAGTAGGTCGTTGGAGATTTTCTTCCTGCTTTTCTAGGAGATGTGAGATTAATCAAGATGTAAGCAATTTGTATTTGACACCCACAGTTAAAAAAATAACCTATCTATATTATATTATAAAACATTTAACAAAAACTTAAAAAAACATTTTTATAATGCACAAAATATTGTTTATTGATGCATGTTACTTTATATTTACGATCACAAGTAAATTGTATGTAAGTACAACTTATTAAAACTTTATTTTTTGAATTTATATAACTAATTATAAATAAACATAATCAAATACGGGATAAACATTTCAGTTTGAATATAAAAATGTAAAATATAACTAGGGTAATCGTTAATTATAACAAAATACTTAATTATTATCCTTATAAAAATTATATTATTAGACGATAAATACATTACTTCGTTATTAAATCTAAATTAAATTATAAATAGAATTGTGAATTAGAGAAATTACACAAAAAACCAAAGCTTTAAATAGTAAATTTCATACTAATATTGATATATTTTTTTCCAAATTTTGTATGATATATTTAAATGTATATTTTATTCAAAGATAAAAATATTATCGTTATCTTAAAACCACTAAAAACCGTATTATATCAATATAGATAAAAATAAAACGAAAAATTAAAATTGAGATATATTTCGTTGTATTATGCGAGCACCCTTCTATTATTTTCATAAAAACCATTACATAGCATTCAAACATAAGAGCCTGAGCCCTAAGATAGATTTTGACAAGGGAGTTAGGGGTTCGAAGTCTTGAAGTGACAACCAAGACAGGGGAACATAGCTTTATATTATGATAAATTAGGCATGAAGAGATATTTTAGAAAGAATCCGACCTTTAATGTATATTTTTCAAAATACGTCAACATTAAACATGTTTATAATACGTATGTGTTTATCGAGCATTCGAATTTCCTATCTAATGTTGTATTTTAGTTTGTTTGTTTCGAATTAGGCAACTATGACGTTTTAAGCTAAAAATGAAGGATTATGCGAATATGAAAGTTAAGGTAAAAAACGTAAGACAACATCTAGACCCTTGATCACTCTTAATCTCACCCCTCACCCCCATGATTGCGTTTGATACGTAAATTAAGCTGCTGCATCTCGTTAGCTTTGAGATTCGATCATGATTGATACAAATATGAAAATCTCCTTCTACCTAACTTATATTATCACCGGAACCCAACCATTTAAGCTAAATACACCTTTTTAGAATCAATGTATACATGTATACAAACAATGGGTGTTCATAAACATATGTTTCAAATAACGTGTAAATAAGAATCACGCGATAATTCAATTAATATACGAAAAGTGTGGTAAAGTTCAAATCACATGTGATACAACACGGCCGAAATGATGCGTGCGACTAGTCAACGCAACCAAACTCGCGCGAAAAAGTCGCACATGCATTTGCTGGGCAATGCAACATGCGTATCACATGTGATTTTACTATAGTATCAAATATGATTTGGCAATTCCCCTAGTTTTCGTAAGTTGCATCGCCTTATCCTGTAAACACACACACATATGTATATATGTATATCAAAGTAATAAATATCAATATCAACATTGTTGGCAATAAAACAATTCATATAATAAGTGTCCACAATATAAATGACATATAACTGTAGACATAATTAATTATTACACTTTTTGGCTAGCCAGATGACAACTTTACTTTTAATTTATCTATTTTATCAACTCTTAAATATATGTAGATTAATTAAGGGCAAATTTGGAATTGTGTTTATGAAAAACAACACTTAATTTGGAATAAACATAAATATGAATGTGGACATATATTCTTGGACAAATGGAGTACTAAACAAGATAATAATCTTTACAAAATCAGCAATATAGTGTACCATAAATAATTTTTTTGGAAAAATTGCTTGTAAGATGTTTTTTTATTAAATGTAATCCGTCAATTGAATTTGATTTTGAAGAAATTAGAATGCAATATTATCAAGTTTGACCACCTGTTTGGTTGACATACATTGAAATGAAATATGTTAAATTAATTGAAATATATCTGTTTGAATCACAAAATATAGCTTCGAAATTAAAATGAAATATTGATAGAATGACTAAAATACCCTTTTTTAAATAAAAAATTGATTTTTTTCTCAAACTAAATATACTTTGATAAAATAATCATTTAACATGTAAAATATTATAAAATACACAACTTAAATATTAAAAAAATATTTGAAATATCAAAATTTATTTAAAATTAAAAGGATATTCATATAATACAGCAACATACATCTTGATTTTATTGTTTCGTTTTATATTTCTGGCTCAATCGATGTTATAACACGGTTTGTTTTATGTGGTTTGAGAAACTGATAATATGCGGCATAACTCTTCTCTTTGGAAAATGATCCTCCTTCCAGGTGCTGTATGAACAAGATATTCAGTTCCGATCCCCATCCAGAGCATTTATGGAACCCTAAATCGAAAGAGGCACATCTGATTAGGTAAATCTTAACGCCTTTCTCTTTCTCATTGGTTTTATCGACTTCGATGGTTCACAATGAATTGTTAGCGACTCCTGCATTCACGAATCGCGACTGGTAAAGTGAGAGGTTTATGATCGGAGAGATGGAGTTTAAGGTTCGTGATTACAAAGCTGAAGAAGCAGTCCATTCGCTCACTCGAGTTCCGGTTTCTTCACATCCTCTCTGTTCGTCTCCATCTTCATTATCGTTACATACGCAGGTTGGAACATGTTTTTTTTTCTTTTCTTTTTAACTGGTTGTTGGATTTTTTTCACTCTTGATGCTAATTTGAACATATTTTAAATAAAATGGTGGTTTGGATATGTAGTCATTGATCGAAATTTGACTACTTGTGGTGTTAGTGTTAAAGTGAAATTTAATTTTTATGACCACGGTTATGAATTATGATCAATGATTAAAATCAAACAAAAATATTTAAATCTGGACGGTAATGGGTTTAGATTTTTATTTATGTGTCTGTTTTCTTGAACTTTAATATTGATAAACATATACATGGTATTAATGTTATGGACAATTTAATGTTCTCGAAAGACAGGATAGTAAAAGCTCGTTAATTTATGGTTCTTTTGTCGACTTAATGTGGGATTTCTTTTGAATTTATATATTTTTGCTTGATTTTGCTGAAGTTTTGCTTATAACAAATGCATGGGTGTTATATTCGTAGTTTTGTGGATGTTTGATGTTTCGAAATTGGGTTCATAATTCAAGTTATTGCAACGAGTATCCGATTTTTGTTCTTTGTGCTAAATTTTAATTCTGATGATAGGATCATGGGAGCATTGAGTTCTATGATCCATTAAGGGGGCTATCGATGGAAATCTTGGAGCCTGTCGAGGATATGGCTGTTGCAGAAAAGCGTCCTGCTAGTCAACCAACCTCTCATATATCTGCTAAGGAGTGGGCATCTTACAAGAAGTTATTGATGCAGAGATTTCCTGTGCCGAAAATGATTTCGGTTTCTACGGTGAGTCTTTTACCGTCATGGTAGGAATTATGTGGTAGTCCTACTACTACGAACTTTACTTTTTTTTCTTTCTTTCTTTCTCTTTTCTTTCTTTCTCAATTCTTAACCCTGATCTTTTTCCACTACAGCTGTCAAGCAAAACTATAAGAGGCAGCAAGGGTATGGCGTATTGCTCTGTTGTTCTCTTCTACTGTTCATTCACCTCACACCTAAGGGTAGGGGTAGATGGCCCATTTTAGTTGACATACTTGGATTTTCTTCTCTAATTTCCTAATCAGCTGTTGGAAAACCACCGGTAAACATGCAATCAGATGAACTGAATGATTCCCAAAAATTGAATGAAGAAGGATTCAAGATTGTAGGCCAGCAGGAGTATATCGCACGATTGCATGAACTTAAAGATGAGATCATGCGATCTTGGCATTCTGATGATCGTGTAACATCTTTAAAGTTGTCAATCAAGGTAGTTCCTGAATATTATTTATTCCTTGACATACATTATTCTGAGAAACTTATTGATGTGCTTTTAACTATTTAGTTTCTTATAGGTTTTCATCCTCGACAATTTTTTCACATTGCTTTACCCACTTGGGAAACTGATGTTGTTTTCTTTTCATTTATCTATAATGGGAAGAATTCTAGTAAAATGGTAAAAATTGTGTATCTAGTCTTTCTTGTACCTTGAGAACGGTTGAACTTTGTAATTTAGAAATCAAATTTGTAATTTTAGAACTTTGACGGGAAGATTAATCCAAATATAGTTTTGTAATTTAGGAATCAAATTTTTGTTTCCCTGCAGGTTGCTATGCTTCTGATGGACACCTCTGTGGCACAATTTTATCCATCATTATTTGTTCTAGCTACTGATATAATGGACATGCTAGGTGATATGGTATGGGAGCGGATCAAGCAGAAAGCTGAGTTTGCCGATGATGGAACCATGATATGCTCTTTGCCAGGTTTCTATTTCCTATCAAGTTTCTTAAAAATGTTACTATTTTTTGTTCTTTCCATGTGAAATATTTGTGCACTAACCTTGTTCTAGATACACCTTGTTACACCAAATAGAATTATGATTTTATTACATTTGTGATGCTAAAAGACTTACAAGGACAATATGTTATCCAATATAGATGCTAATGCAGCTTCATAAACATGAAATATTACTTGTAATCTATCGGATACATATTGGATATAAGTTGGCTGCTGTGGTCATGGTTTGAGATGAAAAGATTGTTTGCCATGGCTGAAGTTGATTCTTCCCCGCTCTATCCTGAAAAATATATATGACCTGTTGCAGATGACTTTGATTCAAATAATATATGCCTTGAAGCCAAAGAGACATGCAGTAACTGGTTCAGAAAAATTGCTTCCATCCACGAGCTTCTTCCGCGCATGTGAATCCCTCATCTTTATCTTTTATTTGATAAATTCAGCGTTAAAGTAATGTAACATTTTGCGCTAAGTTGATGCTTTTGTATGCTTCGCTGGTTTTCTATTAGTAACAGTAAAGTTTAGTGTAACTATTATTAATACCTTGATATTTTCTTTGTGCACGTAGTGTTTTTTCCAACATTTTTGTTTGGTGACTGCTTGGTTTGTCTCTCGTTATCTACAAGAGAAGTAGAGTTGGTGATGATAGCTTCTTCTCATTTTGTTTGCTTCTTGTTTATCTTTTTGGGTTTAATTCCTATGATTCATTTCCTCTTTAACTTTTTGATATATAACGTGTTGCTTGTATATGTATGAAATGCTTCTATGACATTTTGTTGTCTACTTACTATTTGTTCATGCACTAAAAATCTTGAATATTTTTGTTTCGAATATGGGCTTTTGGGTTTACCAACTGCTAACTTGACATTGCTCTTTAGCTATCTTGAGCTTGCGATATTTCCATGTTGGCGGTTCTTGCATGATAATGTTGGGGATAGCCTCATGCGCTTGGTTATGATGATAAGAGGGATTGCAGATCCATTGGCTTCGGCCTACTGCCGCTTCTTTTTGCTTCACTGTGCCCAAAAACTTCCCGGGCGCAGCACAGGTATATACTTTTTTGATCTTTTAACATGCAAGAAAAGGAAGGGAGCCACATTTCATTTAGCATAAAATTTGCCATGAAATGAAGCTTTAACCATGATAGTCAAAGGTCTTTAATCAACTTTGAACTGAAATAACCAATAGGGAGGGATAAGAAGGCGATTCTTGTTCTAGGGTTTGACTTAATATGACTTGTTGCATCCAGATTGTTTTATTTAGATTTGTGCCATATATTCGTGTACTTCTATTTTTCTTTTTCATTTGAATGACACCATATCTGATGTATGCTGGGGAGTACTTTAGGTATTCAAGTTGAACAATGGTTAGATGTGCAATGTGGTAATGGCTTATAAGTTGAATAAGAAGGAATCTAGATTCAGAACATTCTTACTCAACACCCTGTCTAGATGCCAGCGAGATGTCATTGTTTTTATTAGAATAGTCGATTTAGATGAAAATAGAACATCAAGAACTGTGACCTTACTTATAGAAGTTGATATGATTGCAGAGTCAACAACTACGATTAGTTGAGTGCACCGGGTGTTAAGCAATGAAAGGAATGTAACTTTGACAATGTAGGAGAACAATTATCTCTTTCTCCTTGATTTATTAAGCAATAAAAGGAATATTACTTTCAAGAGTATATGAGAGAAATTATCTCCTTCTTGATGCATTTGGCAATAAAAGGATATAATTTTGAGAACATGGGAGAGCAATTATCTCCTCCTCCTTGATGCATCTCTGCCTCATATGAATAGATATGTTATTTGTTCAAACATTTCATGTCAAAGTGAGGGCCTCCTGCTATTATTGAATCATATCTATGTATATCTATGTCGCTGTACATATATATTTTGGAATCATTCCATGTACATCTATGTACGTCTATGCCCCTATACATATGTATTTGTATAATGCAGAAATTGGAATGTTATGAACAAGACTTTCATGGCCCTAAGTAGCTGCATTGGGGTGAATCGAGTATGTTGAAATTGTCTACTTATGTGGCATTCTCTATGTTGGAAACTGGTAACAAATGTGTTTGACTGTTATGCAGCGCATCTGATCACTTGTGTCAATGACCTAAAAGTTGTACTTATGCGGATCGTATCTATGAAAGAAACCACGTTTGGGAACTTTTTGGGAGATCGAAGGTTGCTTATCAGCCTGATGGAGCCAACAATCGAGTATACTACGAGATGCGTTTTTAAGGATCCAAATCAGGTTAGTGATGGAACTTCTTCCCTTGTGTATTTGACATGGCATGGTTCATGGTTGGTTATAACCCTGTCTTTTCTTATGTGCTTTTCTAAAGGAAAATCTTAAATCTGTAAGTTTTTGATGAGTATGATTTAGAGGTAGTAAAACTGGTCTCTCGTCTTTCCATCACTTAGCTAAATAATTAAAGGTCATCAAGGAAAGGTTGCTACCATAACAAAAGGGCCTAATCATGGTTTTACATCTATCCCTACCGTTGGCAGATCAAAAATTTACTAATCGGTTTTATGGCTTCTAATGGTATAGATATAAAGTAACGTCCTTAAACATTTCAGTTCCATATGCTTGTAGTATTATTGTTTGGATATTCTAAGGGTGAATCGATTGTGGGTTTGTGACTTTGTGATAATGTCTTCTCTCCAGTCCTTCCATAAGTCATGAGACGTGGTACAGTTAGGTTTGTCTAAGGACTTGCCGACCATTCAATATCCTAACCGTAAAGAAGGATTTATATTTGTCCTTGTTAGAACAAAGACAAGATGTTGAGGTACTTGGAGTTTTAAAGCTTGAATTCTTATCAATGAGTCTAACTTGAAGGACTTATGTGACCACCCTCCATCTTGATTTAGAAGCTTTTTCTCTCTTGCCTTGGATTAAAGGGTTGTAGGTGGACCTTCTCTCTCTCTCTCTCTCTCTCTCTCTCTCTCTCTTCTCTATTGGTGGGTATTGGTCGTCATAGAGGGAAGACGTAACATGAACCTGCCAATGTAATTTGGTACCTTTCTTGTTTTCCTTTTTATTTTGCTTGCTTTACTTTCACCATGAAAAGGCGTAACTGAAGGTAAACTCTTGAGTTTTCTTTTAGCTAATCTCTTATAATGAATTTAGGGTGTTTAAAGAAGAATTTAGGGGATGTTTGGTTCAGGCAGGGGAATGAATAGCAAAGTGACAGGGAATGGATTTTCATTCCTCTCAGTTTAACCTGGAATGAAACTTTAGGCTTCTGGGGGAATTTGAGGAGGGGGGCCTATTATATTATATAAAAACCTAGCAATTTCTTTTATTTTCAATCCCGGTTTTTTCGAGTTATGATCGAATGTTGCACATGGTTTATAAAATGCTAGTAGTTAACAGGTTGTTGAGAATATTATTTCTTTGCACCTTTAAAACCTCTAGGCAGTTGTCACATTTGTGTTGAGTTACTAGTAAGGCATATAAGGAGTGATGCAATGCCAAAGCGGTTGGAAGTAGTCGTGGTTTATGAAGGGAGTCTTTTGAGAGTTAGATGAGAAAGGAACCTGCAAGAAGAATCTAGGTCATACCCGAACTTATCTCCCATAACCCCTTGAAAACAAGGTCTTCAATCCTTCACTAAAGCTATAGTTAATAAGGGTTTGTAAGAGCAACACAGAGAATCAGTTGTTGATTCACTGGTTTCACTCATTGTTGTAGGGAACTCTATTGTAGTTGGAGCTAGTGGAACAATTTTCATGAGCTTTGAGTCTGAGAAGCAAAGGCTGATTGCTGCTCCCTTTGTTCCGCTGCATGTGTGCATCGAAGACTCAATTTTTGGTACATTTTTATGTCCAAAGGGATTCCTAGTGGAAACTACATCCTTTGGGGACATAGAAGAGAGTTGATAGTATCCAAGGCATCAACCATAGACTTCAGTTCTTCTAAATAGGCATCCATGCTCCATAGGATTTGTTACGTTGCCGCCTGTTATTCTCAATATTGAACTTCTGTTTAACTTTTAAAGCCATCCAAACATCCATATGTTTCGTTTTCATACTTCAAGTATAGTTCCATGAACATCTCCTCTGAGTATCACATTCAACCAAGAGTGAACACTTTGATCCGTTCTCACCCCAACACTGTAATCCGTGTTGAGATGAGCCCTTTCTTAAATATCAATGATGAATTGAGGAGACCATGGTACGGTCACCTACACATAGCCCATTAAATCATTACTTACATCTACAAATTCAAACAGTGATTTCCAGAGAAAATACATGTGTTAGTCTACATACGAGATGGGTGGCTGTGGCTACTGGGTGCAAGAAGGGACACACCCATTAAGAGGGGAACAATGGTTTTGCTCTCAGAAAGGACAGTGGACTCGATGCTGTATTAGGAGATATCCAAGCATGCCTGTTGCACATGGTGATATCATGGTTTGAGGCGCTGATTGCTTTAGAACCACCAAAGCTGTTGATTTTCATATTCATTTAGTGTTTTGATGAAAACCGAGATATAGGCACACAGTTTGTAACACAACATTTGTTGCAAATAATGGTTTTTGCCACAAGAAGTGAAACATGGTGGTAGCATTGGATTGGAGAGATGTCCTTTATAAAGGAGATATGCACATGATTCATGCAAGTATGCAACATATATGCTACTCTGCTAAAAAGTTGTTATATCTTCTATTGGGAGGTTAAATTATAACTTAGAAAGTTGTTGACTTTATTTATGACCACATAGTCGTTGATACTTTGTTTAACTGCCTACTCATCGTTAGTGTCAATGTTCACAGGTTGCTGATATGATTGTGAGACTTGGATTAGGGAAGAACCCATTGGAATTTTATGGAAAAATTCCCTGGATATCAGTTATCCTCCATCATTTACTTAGGGAACTTCCAACTGAAGTAGTGTGTTCAAATGCTGTGGAAATTCTTCACCTTGTTGAGTGCAGCGACGATTATTCATTTGACCAGGTACCCTTTAGAAGATTCTAGCATTATGCTCACTTTACTTCTGCACAACCTTTATTTTCAATGGATCCTTAATACCTTTAGTACCCACATCCTAGCTGTTAAACTGTTATCTCTTCAGTGTTTAAATTACAAGATGCTTGGATTGAAACTTTGTGAGGGAATATCTCAAGTGAAAGATGTTGATCCCGTAATTAATGAAGTAATTCAGGTACTCTATGTTTTCTATTTCCATTGTTTTCTTTATGTGGGGAACGTGTTTCTCTTGTTTACATTATCTTTAGCATTTTCAAACTTCCTTTTTCTCTGTAAGGATTATATTTTCTAATATATATGATGCACGTCTATGACTCTTCATATTATGCTATATAATACAGGAACACTTTCCATTATTAGTTAAAATGTTGAAAGTAAGATATTCAATCAACCAGATTGCTCTGTTTGAGATACAATTACTAGATTTTTGATTTATTCTAATTATTTAGTGAAAAAGATGGTAAGTGGAGGTTCATAAATTTTCAGCGGCAAGCACTTGTGCATGTGGGGAAGTGAATTTCTTCACATGATACAACATTTTCACGATGCTGTTAATAGCAGTGGAATAGCAGTGAAATAGCGGTTTGCGGTCCTGGAAGGAATCGTGGTCCGCATACATGCTATTTGTGGTTGGGCTCTTTTTTTTGTCTAACCAACTTATATTAGACCTATTTAAATAATTTGGGGTTTTGTTTTGGCCTTGGACTTTTTTTTAATGATTTAAATCACTTAATCCATCTATTTATCTTTTTTTTTTTGATGATAGGGAGGGGGGAGACCCCTCCAGATCAAGGCAAAACACTAAAACGCTAAAAGCCACAATGAAGCGTTCGGGTAGGAGGAAACCTCAACAACCAGAAATACCAAGGCACCCCGAGGGGAGAGAAAGAGGAAGACAGAGAAGAAGGAAGAAGAAAAGAGAGGGAAAAGGAGAGAAAGAAGAAAGGGAAAAGGAGAGAAGAGGGAAGAGAAAAAGGAGAGAGAGAGAGAGAGGAGGGGAGAGAGAGGAGGGAGGAGAGAAAGAAAAAGAAGCCAACCACAAGGGAAGGGCCCAGCCAAGCCAAGACCGGGAAACAAACGGGGGACACCACAAGGGGAGGAAAAGGGGCCTAAAACAGGCACACCCCCATCTATTTATCTTTATGAGTCAATGATTATAAAATTTAGGTTCATTTTTTCGCTCCCGGATCTGGAGGTCTCTGTTCTCAAAGTCAAGAACCCGGTTATACTCCCTCTGAGAGGAAGCATGATCCAGTCAACTCATCGAGCATTCAACCATGTTTCCTAAATCTTTCCACCATCATTCCAAGTCCATTAGTGAATTTCCTTTTCTGGGACTATTAGTCTATTAGTAAATTTCCTTTTTATACTGATTATACATAATACGTTAAAGTGATTTATATTTTACGATTATATATTATATAATGCTAAATTTTTATATGAACCGCTTTACCACCACGATAACCACTGTTTCAAATCATAGTACTGACAGCGATTTGGTACTTTGACCGCTGTAATAGCATAGCTATTTCATGCAGGATTTTAGTGATTGCCACTCATTATTTGTGCGCTGGTTGCTGACAATTTACTTCTCCATTTATTTAGTAATTGAAGAGTTTGAATGAATCAATCTTTATCTCATTGATTATGAATGAATTTTACACACTTCAATACAATTTGAATAGGAAACTCATTCCTACAGAATATTAAGTTCTGCATATACTAAAATTAATTGTGTTTCCTAGTATCCGTATATCCATAAATTATGAAGCTAATTTTTAACACTCCCCTCCAAGTTGGGTTGTACATGCCCAAATTGCAACACAATCTCTCAAAGTTAGGTCCTTGAACAATCTTTGTTAGAATATATGCACATTGCTCGTGAGTTAGAGTTTGTATTACTTGTACTTTACAGTTCTCTATCTTTTCTACAATGAAATATCTATCATCCATGACATGTTTGGTTCGATCATGATGAACCGGATCCTGAGTTGGTTTGGTTATTCCATTTCCCATCACGGATACATTGATTTTACAATGGCGTTCCTTTGAACTTTTATATGACAATCATGTCTTTAACTTTCTATGTTTTCAAACCATATTGTATTCTGATTTATGTGTTCACCATGTTCTTTTTTGAGATTGCAAGGGAGGGGGAAGGGACATACGAACCCATTGCTCATATCTATTATTTACATAGGGAATATGACCCAATACCGTCACTACCACCAATCCACCAAGCTCAATGCTTGATGGATGTAATGCTCACTGGTTTGAGCTCATGGTTGTTTCATGTATATCTGCACAACTACTTAGGTGCTTGCTTGATTTGTATAGGCTTGATGACAATTGCAAATGACTATGCTTATGTTTATAATCCATTGGATTTTGGATCCTTATGTCGATCATATGTCGTAGCCACTACATTAATCATCAGATAATGTCAACTCTATCACTTATCAGTTTGTCAAAGTTTCATTACAGGTTGCTACCGAAAGGAAGAGCCTTGATGAGTATTTGAAGATCTTGGATGCTTATATGGATATTATTCTACAACATAAGATGGTAAGCTTTGCTACTTATGATTGCAAAATTTGTTTTGGTGTGTACCAACTTGATTTAGTTCTTACAAACCTAGTGGTAAAGATTTGTTGGAAGTAGGACATATGTTTCCTCTTATTTGGGATTACGAGTGATTTACTATGCATAGTATGTAACAGGGACGTTCCAATCTTTTTGGAGGCCTTGTTACATCTAAAGCTTTTTATTACACTACAAAATGAGATCACAAAGATACATATATACAAATCACAGAGGCGATGATGAGGCATATTACTTTTGTCTCCTGATAGACATTAGAGAGGCACAGAGTTGGGCTATAGTTCTACATTCGTTGATGAAAAAACCCTAAACAATGTAAAATTGGGCCCCAAAATTTGGAGGCCCTGTTAGGAATCACACATTTAACATGCTAAAAACGACCCTGGTATGTAAAAGTATACTTGTGCTTCTTAAGTACTCCCTCCATCCCAAAATAAAGTGTCCACACTTCCATCACGTGTAAAATATTATTTTTGCTCACAGTTATACTATATATAGGATTAACCAGGATAGGCTCCCTTTGCCAGAGTAATATAGAACATGATCTGAAGTATTTGATATTAAAACCATTCGTAGTCTGTTTGTAGTGGGCTTTTGCATATATCACAGAGCATGTTAACTATAAATGTGAGAACAATAGGCCGACCATCTCTTAATACTTGCGTGTTTGCCAATGTTCTTTACATTTCAACCATATATTCCAGGATCTTTATCTAAATTCCATTCTAAGTGAAATATTTGAGAGATTGTGCAATGAAGTGGTTACCGAAGCGGAATTGGCTAGCCTGCAATCAATTGCTCTGAAGCTGATCACACATTTTGATGATATGAAATATGTTTTTGAGCTGGTAAGTTTGTTATACTTGCTTGATCTCTTTTCAGCAAAAATGGAAAGAAGAAGAAGTAAATGGAAAATGTTAAAGATTCACTTGAACTTCATATTTATTTGGCTCTCAATCTATTCTTGGTTATATTATTTGCTTGTTTCTCACCGAGGTGCTTTCATGCGAAGTATTTTGTCCTGACAGCCATTGTTTTTTGCGTTACTACAGAACTATTTTGTTGACATATTAGATGTCATGCATGGGAGCTCAAGAAGCATTGTGGATATGCACATCCTTACTAATGCCACAAGGTAGTGTTTTCTGTTAATTACATATTGAATTGATAGGAAAATACTCCTGCTCCGTGTACTACATTTTTTCTTTATGAAGCTCCGTATAACCGAGACTAGAAAAAATTTCAAGTGGTGGCACCATTTGACTCTAAGAAACAAATATAGGGACATTTTCACAAAATCATTATTGCTCTGTTGGTTAGTTCATTGCTTTTCACATGTGAGGTCATGTGTTCAAGTCTTTTATTGCAATTTTTTCAGAAACATAATAAATAAAATTAAAAGCTAAAAACTAAGAAAATGACACTAACGAGATTCAAACTTGGGTCTGGGGTGGAAGAAAAACCTTGTAGACCAACTCAACCAAGGGAAACTTGTATTCTCATTGTAGTTTAAAAATATATACGGTGCACACAACAAATTGATACTGTGGCACTTTTTACGACCCTGTAATTTTTTACACTACGATGGAGGAACGAAGCGGTGGCCCGTGCCACCACATGCACCACCTGGGTCCGTCCCTGCCTTATAATCAAGTCTAACTCTAATGAAGTAATAATCTAGTAATTTATGATATGAGAGGTAACAAGTCCAACAATTTGAGTTCTACTCCCTAGCAAGTATATATTGTGTGATAGACATAAAGTGAGGTGGGGTTTCTTAATTTTAGTTCACATAAAATTCAACATAGATAACTTATTTTAAATAGAATGAAAATTATCCCTCTATCATAAAAGAAAAAAGTTCGTTGGACCAAACCTTTGACTTGCCAAATAAATTAAAACATGATTTCAGGTAGGCTGGTGTGGACACGAGAATATGACCAAGCCAAATGGGGGTGAAAACCATAAACCGAAAATATATTATTTTTGTTGTCTTTGGTGCTATTAAGTGACATAGAGCATCGTTCATCTTTGATGTTATTTAGATATGAGAGTCAGCATTGGTTTCTGACAAGCAATTGATACTACAACTTGTGCTCTTAAACTTAAAGCTTTAGCATCTTTCTAAACCATATCTGGCCTACATGGGGACGTTGAATTTGTTGTCAATGGGTATTAGTAATTAATACGTGTTGGTAGAACTACATTATTATGTCCACAATTATTTGACACTGTTTGGTACATTGATTTGTCAATTTCTACATGATGTAATACATATGGGTACTAATTTCTCCTGTTGAATCTAATATGACGATCGAGCAGAAATGATCGCATTGATGATCCTACCACCATAAAACTGCTTTTTGATGTTGCTCAGTCTCTTCACGATAGTGTTAATTTCCCAAGCACGAGACAGGATGATAATCATCAGGGAGAGCGTTTGATTGCTCGTTTTGTTGATAAGGTGCTATTTTTTGTCTTCTTAAGTGATAAATTCTTATTATGCAGTGTAAATAACTTCATGTTTGTTTCTTTTTAATCTCCTGATGATTGCTTCAGGAAAACTTTCAACGTATATAATCAATAATGTTCGCTATCCATCATTGACAGGTTGACCATGGTAAGGAGTTGGATCGCCATTTGACTTTCTTGATTGAATGCCGTGGAGCTTTTAATAACATGAATGATCTGAAGGTATTCATTATGAATAGTTGCTAAACTGTTGACATATTTTTTGCTTTGCATCATGATAAAGAGTCGAAGTTTCTTCTATTTAGCGAAGGTTTTCTGCAAGGCGTATTTGGTATTTGGATATTTTTTGTTTCAATGATTTGGCCAATCATGAAAGATTCGTTATGAAAAACGTAACAAAATTTTATCGCCAACTAATTAAGTAATGAACGGGATGGTGGCTGTCCTGATGCATGTAGGACATCCCCATGGTTTATGATAGCTGCATATTATTAGTGATGGTTTTGATTCAACTTGCAGGAAATTCTTGTTCATTCGAGCAATCTTTTAGCAGCCAGGGCTTTGAGAGAGAAAACTGATCATATCAACTTTATCAAATCTTGCATTACTTTTAATGAAGTTACAATACCATGTATTCCGTCTTATTCGAGGCAGTTAATCTTATATCTTGAAACAGCAGAGGTAAAAGTATGTAATTTTTGGTTTACTTAAGCCAAAATGGATCAAGATCCCTCTTTGGCTTATTATGTTTCATGTTAATGTCAGGTTTCTCTTTTTGGAGGTTTGATTTCCTATTCAGATGGACTTGTTGATTCCGCTATCGGCTGCTTACAAAACGTTTACTTGGTAGATGGTCAGTTTCATAAGTTCTTGCACTATAGAAGCTTCGATAAGCAGTTTTGTGAAAAAAGTTTAATGAATTGCATTTATATCCAACTAACAATTTTTTTTTTAACTTCATTGCATCTCATGGACATTTTATGGTGATTACTTTAAGGAATCTTTTAGGAGCCTTTTCGGTTGGAAAATATGTTATTTAGTGGAATTATATTAATTCATTTTCTATTGAGCTTCTTGTAAGAATTATACCTAACGAGCAAGAAAAATATACCCTTGTGCATTTTCCAGATTTTCTTGACATGCTCTCTTCGTTTCTAAGTTAGCTTAATTGGGAATGTAGGCTTGCGGAAATCCAATGAAGATGCTGATGGTATTGTTTCCTTGATGCAAAGGTTATGCAGCTTCATGCTCTTGGTTCCAGGTTTATTCATATTTAACTTACTAATCTTAAAAGTAATTGTTCACATAAAAATTCATAACAAAGAAGGTTCCGTTAGATTGAAGGTTCAAAATACAAATCTTTTGGTGTATTAGTGAAATTTTATCATTCCCTCCCACTTTCTCATATATACATACATATATATATATATACATACATATATATATATATA